GTCTAATTTCTTTAGAATCAGTCTTGTAACTGAGCTCATCTTAGCAACCCCACCCCCAGTCCATCAAGGCCTTTCTCTGCAGCACTGAGTGGGGCCTAAGCCGGCAGTTCTTGGAGAAGGGGAAAGGAAGGGGAAGGTGAAGGAGGAAAGAGAGAAGGAAGGAAGAAGAAAGGAAGTTAGGAAGAAAGGAAGTTAGTTTACCATATCTCATCCCTCTCTTTGCTTGTTTACCATTTCACCTACAGATTAATCTTTGTAGCTCCATAAATCAATGTACGCGAATTGAACGGATCCACCATCTAACCCACCCAGTGAAAATCAAGTGCCTAGAGAACTCTGTTGGTTTCCATTGTCAAAGCACAGAGAAGGCGGGATGCAAAAGATGCGCGCTCGAAGGAAACCCCGCTGCGGGGACTTGCCCCTGACTTCAGTGAGACTTTCTCCTCAGTCGGGAGACTTAGGCTTACCGCTTTCCCGGATGAAAATCCATTTCATTCCCACGGAACGTACTTCTGTGGAGTCCCACAGACACCGACACCGGTACCAGTTTGGCTGGGCAGAGACTCTCCTAGCTTTGAAACATTCTGATGTTCTGCTTTCCTTACCGGCCGATCTACAGTCCCACTGAACTGATTCCTTGGGGGGAAAGAAATCGAGGCAGGGTGGACATTAGAAGCCGGAAACCGCTTTTCTTTTCTGCATAGATCAGGAGCCACAGAGAACGTCTTGCGAGAAATCGCGTTTCTGTGCGAAAACCTACCCACCCAGCTACCCGTCCCCGGGCCGGGGGTCCTGCATTTCACAAGCAGCGATAACAGCTCCACCTGCTGCCTTCTCTCCCAGAAAACTGCCTCACCTTGAGGTCCCTAGATTCTGCCTCCCCCAGACCAGCACCCTCGGGGGTCACCAGGATCTGATGGGGTTCCCCTCATGGATAGGCCTGGAAACGGCACTTCTGCGAGCGGGGGCCTCTAGGACAAAGGGACCGGCACCAGGGGTCCTGCAGCGGGCGAGGAGGCTGGCGTTCGCGGAGGGGGAGAAGAGATCCAGGTCCCCCGCGGCCACGCCACCGTCTTCTCCTGAGCCCCACAAGCGCTGCTCCATAAAGCCTGCCTGGATCTTTCCCTACAGGACGCAAAACAATAAATATTTACCGCCGGCGGCGAGGCTCCTCCAAGTCAAGAGTCATTAACACGAGCCAATGAGAGCTGCAGAAAGTCACCTCCGCAGCCTAATGGATCTGGCTAATTAAATTGGTGGAAATTGCCAGGATCACATTGAAAGTGTTTGACTGGTTAGATGCATATTGAAAGCCTACCCAAGAAAAGAAAAGAGAAAAGAGAAGAAAAGAAAAGGAGAAAAATTGCTTAAGGAGAGGGAGAAGTTTTTCTACCCATCCCTCAGCCCTAGACCTAGGCACCGTCCTAGGCAAGAAAGATCGTTATCTTTGTGAGCATCCATCACATCTTTGGAATAAAAAATAAATTCTCTCTCTCGCACACACAGCTCACATTGATTCTGTTGCTAGAGTTGTAGGTAAATCTACCACTCTGTTAACAAAGAGGCATTGGAGCAATAACAATGTCACAAGGGTCCAGTTCAAAACAATTGGTCTACTTTGATGTAAAGGATGCATGATTGCTCCCCATTTGGCTCTCTCGGTATGGTTGGTTTGTGGCTTTGGTATGAATTCCACAGAAATTAGAATGGGGATTACGTAATACATTATGTGTATATGTGATTTATTTTACTGGGGCAGGTCCTGAATATGTGTAGGTACGAAACCCTTCCAGTTGCAAAGAGTTCTTCTGCTCGGTGAAGATTCTTGTGTAGCTCATAAGCTAACACAGTTCAACAGGATAAAAGAAGTCACCCTATTGTTGCAAGCCAGCGATGAAACAGATAAAGGAAACTCATTTTAAATACAAAATATAGCTGGTTTGATTAAAAACTGTTGATACTAGTGGGGATGATTTTGTGCACAATTCCATCAATATGCTCATATCGCAATCACACTCTCGGAAAGATCACACCAAAAAAAGAAAAGACAAGTTCCATGACCAATTCGTTTCCCCAATGAGCTACTTCTGGTTCCAGCCATTTCTCGTAATTTGCCCCCAAACTCCCCGAATGCCTGCGTTTCTTCCCTAATTTTATTTCCTTGAAAGCACCGTTTGCCGCTGTCCTTTCCAAATAAGCAGAATTAGCTCTGAAGCTCCCAGTCCCTCTGTCCTCCAGAGGTTCCTCTGGCACGGAGGAATAGACTCGGAATAAAGCTGCAGGTCGTTCAGTAGGATTTCCTCCCACGGAAGACGGTACATCAGCCGCGGCCCTACAAATGTGGGAAGCGGAGCGAGGGACACGCTAGCACCTCCGCCCCCGCCCGCGGAACGGGAATGCTCCTTAGCTCGCCTTTGACTCGCTTGGAGGTTTGCACCCTCGCTGCTGCGGGAAAGAGGGAGAACGGGGCCGGTTCTGGCACCTGCGGAAAAACGCTTTCCTGGTGGTTGTTAACAACACGCGGGAGACTAGCAAGGAATTACCCTGCCAAATGCACCTGCCCCTTGGTTACACCGCCGGAGTAAAAGATCTCAGGGAACGAGCGCTACATGCGCGACTTCTCGTTCCGCACACCTACTCCAGAACGCCTCCCCGTTCCTCTGTATGAGTAGGGAACTTTTTTTTTTTTTTTTTTGATGCGGGGGGTGTCATTGTGGAATTGTACATTCCCAGGTCGGGTTGGTCTTTCGCGTGTGAGAGTGGATCTCTTGTTAAAAGAAGGAGAACAAGGCGACACGCTCGCAGCGGCGCTCAGAGTTGCTGAACCGACTCTAGAAGCTCAAGGAGTTAAACGCCGAGAAAGATACGTGGTACGCAGGGCGCGGGAGCGGGGCGGGGGAGACAGACTGAGAGGGAGGAAAACAGCCCATTAGGTCTGGAAGAGACACACAGCCCTGCCTGTCCCACGAGCAAGTGGCCCTGCGAAGTGGGGCGGGGGGGTCACGACATTTCCTTACTAAAATCAAGTCCCCCCCCCCCCAGCCGTCTTTATAGAGCATAAGGTGCCAGAAAGCTTAACCACCACCGCGAGGTCTGTCGTGACCGGGCGCTCAAGTTCGGGAAAACACAGACACAGAGATCACCTTCTTGGTCCTTCCCAGTGCGAGGCCTTAGAACAAGCGACAAACAAAACGAGGAAGAAAAAGCATCTTGCCAGACCTGGAGGAAAAATCCATCTCCCTTTGAAGTCGACAGCATTCTCTGTAGTTCCAAATAAGTCTCCCCTCCACCAGCCCACTGTTTGCGCGACACTGAAAGCGCTTCTCGGGTTCTCCAACTTTCTCTAGCTTATCCCATCGCTGGTGTCTTTGCCTACCTGACTCTTCTTCCGTAAATCTCCAGAGATCCTAATTTTTCTCTTAGTGGACGCCAGATTTTTAGAAAAACAAATAAACAAAGCCAAACCGAGAACAAAAACCCCTTCTGTTGTCTTCGCCCCAAAAGAGAAAGCAACGGATCTTCAGCAGTGTTGCTTCCAACTTAATGTCTTTCCCCAGTCCATCTTTGCGAGAGATGTGGCGATACCACCTGGATCTTCAGCTATAAATCCCCTTGCAAATAATAAATGGATTAATAATAACAAGGTATGAAGTTCTTTTTATAGAAAAAATGGGAGAGAATTGAAACTAAATGCGGCAGTTAGACAACCATTTTGATAAGAGGATAATTGAGGCGACACTGGTGTATAATTAGAGGATAATTTATGCTATATCCACTTTTATTCCGCCTCCCAAAATAAACCCAGTCCATAATCATTACAGGCAAATTGTTCTGAATTTTATAGCTGCAATTTGAACAAAATAGTGCCGTTAATCATGGGAGATTTTTTTTCTTTTTTGTGTATTCCTGATTAGAACTCTAATTGCCTCCTTTCGGAAAGTAAAAATAACTGCAAAGCGACTCTATTTTTATCATTAACAATATTGACAATAAAATAAAATCAACTGGAATTGTAATCGAAAGGCAAATTTAGGGCGAAGGCACTTTTCCTCGGGTAGTTTATATTGCAATCAAGATTTGCCAAACCACTAACCGCAGGTCTCATTTGCATATATTTGAAAGCATTACAGGAGCTTCTGTTTTCAATGGGGGGTGGGATCTATTACTGACATCTTTAAGGATTCACCCTAGGAGAAGGAAGCTGAAAAGCAGGCAGTGGCACCGATGGAGGATGATGCCGCAGCATTCGAGATCTTTTTATTAGATCCTTCCCATGGGCACATGATAGGCTCTGGAAGCATCTCACGTAGGAAAATTGTGCCAGTTTTGTTTAGCACTCTGGGTTATAAGCCACAGTCACTTCTACCAGTCAAGAAAGCGCTCTCGTGCTTTGGCTCGGAACCGGGCGTCTGAGGGACTTTGCGGATCCTAACGCACCCGCTTGTGAAGCAAAGGACTCACGGGCTCATGTTGAATTATTGGTCATGTGAAACGTATCCCATCATGTCTTATGCAACATTGCAATGAAAAAAGTGACCGTTCCAGATATGTCTCACTGAAGGGGT